TCTTTGGTTTTTATAAAAATCATGTGTTTTTCTTTAAAATACACATAAATGCGTGTGTGGGTGCAAAAATATAATGAAACATTGATCTAAAATAACAATTTTTGCAAATTTTTCTAAAAACAATGTTCTAAAATCAGAATTAAAAAAAGGAAATTTGATTGAGGAAAAACGATAATAATGCTATGTAAGTAATTTCCAAAAAAGAGGAAAAACTTAAACACAATACAAATTCAAGACAAGGATGTTGTAATCTTTTCGAAGACTATTCATATCCCAGATACTTTGAATTTTGAATTTTGTCACCACAATATTTGTGCGTCAAAAAATTAAGTCAAATTGCCTTAAAATCGAAATACTCGAAATTTTGTAAAATTGATTAAATTTGCGTTTATAACTCCAACAAATATCTGAAATGGCAGCACGTTTTTGTAGTTTGCTGCAGCAAGCATTTCGTTATCTCTTTTGTAAAACTGCAGAAGATCTTCTGTCTAATCGACAGTATAACATTTTTTTTTTGCTTATAGAGAGAGAAACTATTGCGAGAACAGAGAAATATTACACGAAAACTTCAAAAGTGTATTCGGTCATTTACTTAAATTGTTATAATCGAACGAATATATTTGCTAAAATATGTAGAAACTATCTAAATTTACAAATTTTCTAAATTTTGTTTAATAATGAAGATAATTCATTTTGAGAAATTCTATGAAAGAGTCTACCTTCAGAGTATAAATTTCGTTCCTCGTTTCGTTGTTAGCTGGTAGAGTTAAAGGGGCTACTTCAGCTTTCCATTGTATATTGATTTTTTTTAAACCGGTTATTACTCGTAATAATGGAAGTTGTAGCCAATTGAGTCGATACACTTTTTTATCGAAACCAAAAAGTTTCGGGGATTTCGGGTGTTAAATATTCATTTGGGCACCCTGCCCTCCTCAGGAAAGATATTTTTTTTCACAAAATTATCTTTCTGCCCCCGAGAGATTTTACCACGTTACAGATTCACCCTGTATATCTAAAATATTAAGCAAAAACAAAAAAATAAGAAGAATCAAAGAGTATGTCGTGCCACGATTTTTTTTCTTAAACTTCAATTTCAATTTTTTATTACAGAAATCTATGTAAAAAGGAAAGAATCTGATGAATTTAATTTGACAGCTTCATATTAAATAAAAAATTAAAGAAGATAATATGAAAAATATATTTTTTATTTTACATCAATCGTCTTACATTATGTTGATGTAAGAAGTGTGTAAGTCTTTGTAATGAAAAATTATGTTACATACTTTGCGCATTTAAAATAAAAAGAATTATTTCTAAAATATTTACTTATGCCGTTTGATCTTTGACTGAAATTATAATAATTCTTATTTAAAGGATTTCTAAATAATTTGAAAAAGAAAAAATCAAATATTGATGAATTTTATTCGTAATGAAAAAAAAAATATTGGTGTACTTATGTATATAGTGTTTTATTCTTTTGGAAAAAATTAGGAAACACAAATATTTCTTGTAACAATTGAAAGAATTTTAGTTAGAATTTTGGTTAGCCATACAATATAAGGATAAAACTATAGAACTCTTAACACATGAAAAAAATTCAACATGAAATTTATAAAAATAAAACCCATTGCTAAATGTTGCCCAATTTTTTGCAATCACATTCCATAGAAAAATTCTAAATAATACTAAATTTCTCATTGGATGCAATCAGATTTTTCTATTTTCGCCATTTTTTCTAGTTGTTTTCATTACAGCTGTTAAACACAAAAATTTTAGTCTTTTTAATAGCAATTTAACAGCAATTGAACAAAATTTTATTTAAAAACAAAAACCGAAAATAAATTAAATATTTTAGATGAAGAATATAGAAAAATATTTCAACAAGAATTTAGAGTGTAATATAGTAATATTGAAAGAATTTTACGGTATCAGTATTTTTAATAGAAATTTGTACTCGTCAATTCGAAAAATATAACAAAATTACCCACACATACATAATATTATAGCATGCCACTATATAAAATGAAAAAAAAATTTGTGCCTTATAATTTAAGTACAAAGAATAGAGTATTTCTTTTTTACACAGTTTCCCATAATACTTTGTGTACGATATTACAGAAATCCAATTTATAATTATTTAATACATACATACATGTATTTATTTAAAAATTTCATTAGCAAACTCCCGTAGTGATTGTGTTTTATGCGCGAATTCTCTATAATAAATTTCTTCCGTCGTTCATTTGAGATAGATTGCCAATATTTTTTTGCAATAAAATGTTAAAAATATTTTTCAAAAAAAAATAAGTATGAAATTAAATAATTGAATATTTAAATAAAAATATATGGAGCTGTAGTAAACCTAGTTGCGTTTTAATAAAAATTGAGCTTTATAATAGAACAGATTTTTACATTAACATAACTAAAAACCCTTTACTTGTATCGGTATTTAAACACTGAAGTAAAATAGAATGTTATTGAAATTTTTTATTCAAAATGGTTTTTTATTTTTAAATGGTTATTTTAGGTATTTGTAATTATTTTCTAACTCATCCGAAAGGAATTATAGGGAGGTTCAATGAAAAAATTTTATTTTATGCCGTTTATTGAAATATTATTAATTGTACAATATTATATATAAGCAATATGTAATATTGCTAATATAATTTTGTTTAAGCTTACACTAATACCCCAATACTCCTCTAGAAACAAAAAATTTTAAATGCTATCCATAATGATCTTAAATATTTTTTTAAGGAAAATAATTTTAATGAAGGCTTTGCTTGTTTGCTTGCAACAAAGAAAACACAAAAGGTTAATAACAGACATAATTCTTGAGCGGAAATTTTTTTCCTAACTTACTTTTTGATATACAACAAAAAATTTTTTTTATCTTTTTTCAATATTATAATTTTAAATTCTTCAAAAACTCTATTATATTGATTTCAAATCATTAATGACAATATTTTTTTTTTTGGAAACGACATATTTTCTTTCCATTTATTATTTCCAATAATTGTCACCATTAATTTAATTAATTAGGATACCTAAATAAACATTTCTTGCACCAACCTTTAAATATCTTCCAACATACTGATCCAAACATTTACAGTTGGCCTTTTTAAAACAATAGTGTATAATATTTAATTCCAAATATAATGCTGAAATAATTAAGGTGTTAAGAAATCTTTGCAGTAAATGGTGAACATCAATAATATTTCGAACAATTAACAATGTTTCTCTCCGAGGTATTTGAAGTTTATTCTTAACGTACACACTCTATAATTTCAATCATTTTTTTTGGTTCTTATTCAGAACTGTATTGTATTTGACACAATACAATTTTGTATAACAAAATAATCATTTGATCAAAATTTTTACATTTGTGTCGTGTGCACCGTTTTTGAATAGAAATATTATATTTTTGAGAGTTTATTAAATTTCTGGCCATATGAAAACACATTACCTACATAAAGAAGGCATTATAATATATTATAATATAATATAACATAATTATTAGAACTAAAATTAAATTACGAAAATTGAATTATTAAAATTGAATTATCAATAAAAATTAAGAGCAAACTATGAAGTATAAAATAAAATTATGCACTAATTTTTCTTATTCCTCGAATTAAAACTATGAAAAATAAAAAAGAAAAATTATTAAAAATTTTTTTTTAATTTATATGATCTTTTATGATTTTCTAATTCTAAATTATTTGGTAGTTTCTTTTTAATTATAATTACAAGATCTTAAATTTTATTATTTTCATAAATTTTAACAATTCAATATAGTTTGATTTCAAATTTTAATAGTTTTCAAAAAAACTTTTCATTATTATTCAATTTTTTTTTTATATAATTTATTTTTTGTTTTATTTAAATTTAATTTTTATTTTATAATATTATTTAAATTCATATTTTTTATTATAAATTTACTGCCATTTTTTAATTTACACTACAACCTTTACATTGAAAGTCTATGAGACTATTTTAATATTTCACTTTTTTTTTCTTGTGTTTATTATTTTATTCTATTTAATGTTATTCTCACAATAATTATTTAATTAATTAATTTTATTAATTACATTATAAAATTATATACATAATATTTTATTTCAATTTTTTTTTTTTGAAATTGGTTATATTTAAAATTCAAACTACATTTTTTATTATAAATTCTTAATAATTTCATGGAATTTTTTTTATGAAAATAAAAATATAAAAAAGAGAGAATAATAACAATAAAAAAAGAAGAAAAAAAATTAAATTTAATTTTTATCCTGATACCGTTATAATAATAGTTTACTTCTACCTAAAACTTTCAACATTCTGTTATACTTCACATTCCATTTTGTATATTAGTTTTTGTATTACAGTTTCAATATTTTTATATTATGCAATTCTTTTAGTTTTTGTTTCATTTTCATGAAAATATTGTTCTATTTTTCCAATTCCTTCTATACAGTTACGTAATTTATTTATTTATTAATTTTTGTTTTCTTTTCTTAATTAAAACTTTTCTTTCGTTTTGTTTGTTTAAAAACAGTAAGTCCTTTCAGAATTGTTTCTTTTTAAAATGCTACCTTTTGGTCTACCATTATTACTATTACCATTTTTATTATTGCTACCTGTATTAATACCATTAATAACGGTATTACCATTAGCACCACCAGTTGTATTACCACCATTTGTGCTATTATTACTATTATTATTACTATTACTGCTACCACTATTAGTATTACTTGAAACTATAGTATTTATATTGCTAGTAGAACCTGTTATCGGTGTTGTATTTAAAGTTACATTTTTTTGTTGTTTTTTAAATGGTGGTGATTCTTTACTACCACCAGCTGCTGGTAATATTATAGTTGATGGAATTGCGGTTGATGAAATAATATTACTACTAATGCTACTACCGCCACCACCACTTAAGGTGCTTACTGGTATAGTACAACCACCACTACTACTATTACTATTGCTGGTTTTAACTGAAAATTGTTGTGTATCTTGTCATCCATAGAAAAATTGTGGATTTTGTGCGACACCAGTTGATAATGTTCTTGGTGGTGTACCATCATAATGAAATGGTAATTCAATAGAAGTTTGTGCTGATAATGGTGGTGATACAACAACAACTGTAGATTTATGATGTGGTTGATTTATTGATGTTGATATTGATATCGGTTGTGGTGATATTGATGAAGATGATGATGTTGATAATTGATGTCCTATAACAGAATTTATAGTACCACCACTACCAATAACAATTGATGGTAATGGTTTTTGCTGTTGCTGTTGTTGTTGTGAATTAATTACTGACGCTGCTGGACGCCTTAAAACTCCATCACTATCCATAATATAACCAGCGGTTGGTGGAGGTTTTGTACCTGTATGAAATGTTGAACCTGTGGCAGTGGTATACTGAGCCAATGATGTAATAGGAACAATAGTACCTATATATGTATTGAAATTTAATTATTATTAAAACTTTATTAAAGCTGAAATAAAACTTTAATGAAAAATAGGAAAAAAAAATAGATGTATAATAAAAGTTATTGAATATGCACAGGCTTCTTTTTGAGGTTTCTTTTATCTTGATTTCTTTTGATCGACCTTACACGATTTAAACAAAAAGGAGAACAAAAAAAAATAAAAAAATTAAGGCTGTTGAATGCGACCGCATAGTGTAATCGATTTTTAAAGAAGAAATTGGAATCAAGGATTGGATTTGCAAATAAATGGTGTTTGCAAAAGTTTCAATATGTTAAAATTTAATTTATTTATAAAAGGTTTCATCAGTCAAAAATGTATTAAATATTCATACCTATTCCGCTACTAACATGTGTAAAAGATGAAGCTACACTTCCTGGTGGTTGGGCAGTCATATATGAATTTGTTACACCAATTATATCTGGTGATTGCCTTGTACATAATAAAGGATTTGGTGCTGCCTGTAATAACATAGTTGATGATGTATGAGATACATTTGATGGTCCTAAACTTCCATATAAACTTGATGTTTGACTATAATTTATTAAATTCTGTAAGAATAAAAGTATGACATTTTATTCATTGGAAATATTTTTTTTTAAAATTTGATTAAAAACAAAAATTCACAATAGGGGAATTTTGTTTGTACAAAATTTATATTTTTTGTCAAAATATCAACTTGACTTTCAGTTAATGACCAATATGTATACCAAATTGTTAATTTCAAATTTTATACATAATATTATGTTTATTTTATGTAACAAAGTAAACAAAATATTTTTCAATTTACCTCACTTTTTGAAACACTTGGCACTGACATCTGTACTGTTAAATCAATATCTGCATCAATTTCTGATATGCTATCATTAAAACCATTTGGTATAGTTGTTTCACCTTTTGATGAATTTGTTGAATGTTGATCTTGTGTTGCAGACTCTGCTCTCTTTCGTAACATTATTAAGCGTGTTGCAATTATAACTACACAAAATAATATACAACCAGTTCCTACTAATAATAGTATTATATAAAACTTTTCGTTGTTACCTGCAATGAAAATTAATAAAAATAAAAGTAAAAGTGTTATTCAAGTTTTTTCAATATACAATAAGTTTAATATATTTTTTAGGTTAAGCAAAATTTTCGCGTTTCACTTCCTGTAATTTACTACCCTATTTAATATTAATTCGATCAAGGCTCGAAAAAATCAAATTATACAGCCATAGAGTTATCATTATTGTATAAAAATGACTCTGACAATAAGGTTACTCTTCCGATAAAAGATGGTTGTGAATATCATAAGTTCTTATAATAGTTACCATATCCATATTTAAGATTCTTATGAAGAAGCTTAATAACTGAACCAACATTCTAAATCACAAATCCTTTTGTCAGCTGTCGTATGAGAAATTACATGGAAAACATTCGTATACAAGTTAACATGACCATTTATTTTTATGTTGAATTTCACAGTCAGTATTCATTTTCATATTTTAGAAAAATTTTTTGTATTTTTAAAGAATAATTATAATAAAATTTTAATAAAAGCAATCATTTTCTTTATACAATTCACCATATTTTTTTTTTTCTTAAATATTTAGCACTCGAAAATGACTTAACTCGTATGAATCTTTTGAAGTACATAAAAATTCAGTATTTTTTCAATATCGCTAAATAATAAAAAGAGGAGGATAACTTTTATATTTAGATTTGCAATAAGAGTACCTAAGTATGTGTATAATATAAAAATTAAAAAAATATTTCTGTCTCTTTTCTTAAAATAATTATTATTACTTTAAATGAATGTAGGCGAAATTTAATAAAAGGAACTTAGAAAATAAAGAAATGAAAAAAAAAAATGGAAAATAATTTCAGTTATATGCTAACGCAAGCATAAAAATTTAATCGGATAAAAATTTGCATAAAAAAAATGGAAAAGTTATTAAAGCAAGAAAAAACAAAAGAGAAAAATAAAATAAAATAAATTCATTATTGTAATTTATTTTCGTCTCCTTTCTTCTTTAAAAAAATTTTTTACTTATTAATTTTTATAGATTTTGTATTTTCTTATTCTTTTTACTGTTATTAAGAGGACAGATTGACAGAAAAATAAAACAAGAATATGGAAAAACTAAAGAATGAAGAAAAATATTGAGAGAAAAGATAAGGATTGGAAAAACAAAAATATATTTTTGAATTTCCGTGAAGTTCTTCATACATATTCAAATATTCAATACATACATACAAACATAAATACAATATTCATACTCGTATAATGTAGACATATTTTAGAAAATATATTCAATGACAAAATTCCATATTCTCTCATTATACATTTGTATTGTTTCTATAGGTAAATTATATGAATTTTCCCATAACAAGAAAAGTTTTTAATTATTATGTCAAAAAGGATAAATGCAATAAAAATGAATTGTTCAAAAGAAAGAGAAAAAAAATATTGATAAAAATATTAATGATACTGTTACAGTATATTTTCTTTTACTATCAAATTTGAAACAAATAATATTAGAAATTCAAATACACAAAATATCTACATAGAGCAGATTATTTAGACACATTCAATTCAAACTGAATGTACGACACAGAAATTTTAATTGCCTTTGCTATTTAAATCAGCTGCATTTAGAGTCATTCTTAAAGCAAAAATATTTTTTAATATTTTAAGACTGAAATTTACAAAGCTCACATTAAAATTTAATGAACATCATAAAAATTTAATGTGAAACTTATTTATGAGAACGACAAAATGTGGTAGTAGTAAATGAATAATTTCTATTAGTATTAATTAAATAATTTGTATGTGAGTAATTAAAGAAGAGAAAAATAGACTGCCGTTGTGCATTTAATATTTTGAGGTACTTTGCCCTTCAATAAATAATTTAAAGAAGCTCAACAGCGCTTATTCGTAACTTTTTGCTAGTCTATGTGTTTAATAAATTGAAATTACTCAAAGAAATTAGTTTGCATAACTCACATAAATGTCAAATTTTTTAAGACTGCTTATTATACATATATAAGATAAATTTATACTTACTTTCAAAATTCATACCCATTGTATGTGTCATTATTGGATTTGAACTACTTAAAGTTGGTTCAATTGTACTAGTTGTATTTGAATTTGTTGAATTAGTAGATAATCCTACAGTAATATTATTACTATTTACATTTCTTGTTAAATTACTCTGTAATTTTGGTATTGCCTCGGATTCTTTATAATAAGGATCATCATCATATAAATCATTTGCATCACCTTCAAAATCTTCTGGTTCATCAATTTCACTTACAGATTCATAACGTTCTTTAAGAACTTGTTTTGGAACTGCAATTAATTTAAATTAAAAAAAAAATTTATGTAAAATTTTAATTTTAAAATTACAAAAAAAAAAAATTAAAAAATAAATAATTGTGCCATTCGAATGAAAGACTACTGCACAGCGGATAAGAAGGTAAGATTTTTTTAACTTAACCCTCCTTTGTTCTTAAAAAAAAACTACGTTTTTATACTGCATGTGTAGATTTCTACACATATGAAATATCTATTATTTTTTTATACTTTATTCAAATCAAAATGTAGAAAAAAGTGAAAATATATTAAATTAATTTATTTGAAAAACATTTTGTGCAAACATATCTATTGTGCTCCGCTTTACAACATGATTTTTTGCAACAACAGCAGATTGTCTCATGTACGTTATTTTTTTTCTTTGAATCTTCTTCGTAGCAAATGTGGCATCTACCTCTTCCTTTGAGCTGTTCTGGAATGGTTTTTAGGCGTTTTGAAGCTGGGGCTTCGTTTTCAAAATCAGAATCCTGTTCTGTTATATTTTGAAGCAGTGATAATGACATCAAATAACCAAAAATCTCATATGTGTAGAAATCTACACACATGGGACAAAAAGAGATATTTTTAAATTAAGCAGTGACATCTACCTTAAAGTCCTTAAAATTATGTGTTTGTGGTGTTAAATAGAGAAACTAACAAAGTCATGAAGTTTCTTGATTTTGGTGACAATAGTTGCCGCAAAATTCATAAATAAAAAACTTTTTGTGTAGGTTTCTACACAAGGTATAAAGGAGGGTTAAGAAGTTTTTGTTTTATTACCAGTCATTTTGCATATCACTAGAAAAATATTGCATCTGTGTCAAAAGTATTGTAGTGCGCATTCACATGCCGAGATTAACTGAAATGCACTTTGTACAAAAAATATTTGTATCAAGATAAGCCCTTTGTTTCGGATTCGTCAGACGCAAGTTTTTTTAAGGATATAGATTAAATTGATCAGATTTTTAGAGTATAACAATTCCGAGCACCTCATGATAATTAAAGTCGATAATTTTTAATGAAATTTTAAATATGAGATATGTCTAATAAGATGATAAACTAGTAAACATCTTGTGCTAAAAGCTAAGCTTTTGTGATAGAAGTTATATAGTAGAAGTGCACAATAGAATCTAAAAGTTGAACCAATTCAGCAATGAAAAAAATACGTCATCATTTCTAGAGTCACACATTACTAATAAAAATAAGGAAACTTTAAATCTAAATTTGACTTTTCTAGCTAAATTCAGCAATATTTTATATTCGGGGATAATATTTACGTAAAATTTCAAAATAAAAAGAAACATCTATGTAAAAAAGATATGTGAAACACCAATAATTTCAATGATAAATAAAAATAGAAACAAAATATTGTAAAGCAAAACAAAAATATTCTTCACATTTTTAAATAAATATTTCCTTTTCTGAGGAAATACATAACGGGTAAAGAGACGGAAATCACGAGTAAAAAATATTTTGTTAGACATAGAAATTTAATCATCCATTTTCCGGTATAATCATTCTTAAAAATATCAAACAAAATATATTTGAATGCAATTTAAAAATTTACAATGTTGTACAATCGAAGTTTGGTTAGTCGAACTAAAAATTGCAAGCTTCTTCTTTCTAAATTAGTTTTATTTGAGTCGTTCGAGCTATTCAATAAAATAATTTTTAAAATTACGTTTTATAACTTTACGGATTTCGTAGAACTATTCTTGTTCAATGCGAACTAGAAAAAATTAAGAAAATTTTAATTTTTTGGATTCTATTCCTAAGTGTAGAACTCCAAATTTTCAAATTTTTACTTTTAACTTTCATATTTTCGTATTTCTTATTAACGAAATATTAATTAAGAATATAAAATTCAAATTATAATGCAAACTGTTATATACAATAATATTTTTCTAATTTTATCACTTTCGTATAAATTTCTACAATTATTTCATGTATTATGTCGATTACTTTGCTGAAATTTTCAGTAACAGCTAAATAAATTACTTGAACAAAACTTACAGCTGTAATCTAACCTGTAAGTTATTGTGACGAGAATTTTATATTTACATTTTTTTTTTTATTTTAAAATTTCATTTAAAAATTCATTAAAAATTCTACCGAAGTATAGCTGAAAATATAAATAAAATCTAGCTTACCTATAAAAAAAGTAGAAAAAAAATTTACTAAAAATTTTTACTTAATTAAAATTTTATTTGATTTTCATTTATTACCACACTTTATACTATAATTAAAAATAATTTTCTTTTACTATTATCGTCAATTATTATCCTTTATTATAATAATGAAAATGAAATAATAAAAAAAATTCAATTTTCTCCTTAATTTTTATAATTAAAACAAAAAGAGAATTCGCATTAAAATTTCATCAAAAAACTATATCAATATATTATACATATATTTATATGTATATGTGTATATATCCTTGATTATTATTGCAATAACAATATTAAATAATATTACCAGTATAAAAACTAATTTCAATTTAAATAAAATTCTATCCTTTTATCTATATGTGAGCATATAAAATGAACATATCATAATATAAGGACATTTTGCATACCTAAATGAACAACCTGTTTTATTTTTCAGTAGAAAAACCAAGAAAAAAATTCTAAAATTATATTTTACGACAAAAGCATAAGAAAGGTAAATAAAAGTATTCAATTCAATGGCAATATAACCCTTGTAGTCAATAGCTGCAGAACAATGAGTTTCAATAGGAGTATACCAACATTATTTTCATAATAATATATTTGAATAACATGTACACATTGATGTGCAATATATTTTGTAGGTTTATACATATAATATCATATATGTGTAATTGAATATAGTGGAGTGAGTGCATGTGAATGGTAAATGCAGATTCTAATTGAAGAACGCTTATGAGTAACCTCAATATCAAAATAACCCCAAAACCATTTTTGGTATTTTTTATATGAACTTGTTTTTTGTTTTTATTTTTTTCGGGAAATTTTATGTGGAACCTTTTTGTTTTTTGAATATTTTTGGTAGATACATCTTGTATATTTTGTAATTTGTTACAGTAAGGAGGAATCATTCAGAGCATTTACTTTTGCAATTGATTTTCAAATATTCCATATGAAAAAAGTAACATTAAAAATAGTCGAAATTTAGACAGAAATTGATTTTAATAATTTCGAAGAATTTTAAGAATTCAATTCTAATGGTCGCAAAATGTCAGTTATTAAATTAGTTAATATTCTTAGAAAATTTTCATAAAAATATAAGCAACTCAACCCTATATTTAAATTAACAAATTTTAATTTATTTTGAATTTTTGTGTTTTTTATGAATTAAAAAACTTACCACATGTGTAAACAACTTTTAAATACATTCTAGAATTACGATGACATGGTGAACCAAATGTATTTGCATCAGCAGCAAGATTACATCTCCTTCGGCCATGACATATTTGCATTACAGTTTCAGTTGCATATGAAGCAAGACATGCTGTAATTTTTAAAATAAATTAAAAAAAAATTTATTTTCACATCAGAAGACATCTTTGTAATTAAATATTACATTAAAACGATTTTAAATAGAGCCTGACCAGAGATAGTAAAGGAAAAATTATGATTAAATTCGGTAGTAGAGAATAAATTATGATTATGATTTCATGTAATTAAAAATGTAACACTATACTATTCTTATATAAAAATATCAGTTTTCTAATAAAAGAATATTTAATATTAATTACTTACTTTCTTCACGAACACCTTGTGGTTGCGGACATTGTATACTTTCATATTCGGTTCGCCCAAAACTAGCACTGTATACAGCAATTCTTGAATATGGGTTACATTCCAGTTGAACAATATCATTTTCGCATGCAACTTTACTTCGAAATTCATCTGAAAATATTTAAAAGTATATAATATAACTTATAAAATAAGCAATTAAAATGTAAAATATTTTTTAGTAGAACAATAAATAATGTAATTAAATTTCATAATGTAATTAAATTTCATAAGTATAATTATAAGTACGAAATTTTAAAATTTGAAATTATGTTTAATAAAGTTGGGTCCTAACCAATGGATTGTAAAGAAGCCGCTTTTCTGCTTATACTGCTTCTAAAATCAATCTATCTACTACATTATTTATTTTAGTTTCATTGATATACAAAATATTATTTAAAACTATTGCATACATTTAGGATGAGGGAAAAAAAAAATTGAAAAAAGGATTTAACATGACGAGTTTGAATTTGACGTTTAAGCAAGTGAATTAAAAAAATGAATTTTTGTGATGGAATGCCTTTTACCGTGAACGTTTTAAATTGTTTGAAATTTGAAAAAACTTGAAGTTTCGGAACTATAAGGTACCAAAAACACAAAATTTACAAATTTCGACAAGTGATAACTTAAGAGAGGGTGGAAATGGAAAAAAATTTTCTTTTAACAGAATAAACTACTTATTTGTGCTGGTCCTTCAGAGTCCTACGGGTGTATGGATGAATAGAGTGAAACTAATATGCGCTTTTTTTCACAATTTTTTCGGAAAAATGCTAAAAAGATTGTGTGAAATAATTGACATTGCATTTTATACTTTTCTAAGAAAAAAGTAATCTCTAGTAACTAAATAAAAACTAGAATGATTAAACTACAAACCGATTCGAAACAAAACAAAATTTTAGTTATAAAAGTTTTTTTTTTTTTTAATTTTATTAATATTTTTGAAATAGCTATTAAATCAAAATCCATTTTTTGTGTGATATTTTCAAATAAATCTTAATAATATTCTTAAATTTATTTTATTTTTAAAAGAATTTACGTGTCTAGAATTTTTAAATAAATCAAATTTTATAACACACTCTTGCCTTATAAAACTCTTTTGTTCCCTTTTTGTATTTTGTCAAATGTTAGGCAAATATGGTACAAAAAGGGTAAAATTTATACTATTGCGTTGCGAACTATGTATTTATTTTTATTATTATATAATTTTTATAAAACATTTCAAAATTAAAATTTCATTTATAATATTAAGGTTTGGAAAAATTTTATAAAAATAACCCTTGTATACAAAAGTTGTAATAGAAATTTAAATAGCAACCCGAATCATTACTAACCCGAATCAAAGTTAGTGGTTCTAATTTAGTTTGTTCTAGAATAATGAGAAATTTTGAGCAAATCATCAATATTTTAAGTAACTAATTTTTACCGAGCGCATTGCATACAATAAGAGAAGTTATGTGAGGGAAATTTCTGATGTCGAGTTTTCTGTGGGTACACACTCCTCCATAGAGTCGGTCCGTCGGTATCTAGCAAAACCAATTTGTGTGTTACACTATAATTGCATCCAATATATTTGTATAGCATAGTATGCAGGGTAACCACACTATAATATTACTCATACCTTTCATGGTCACACTAAAACTGCGGGAAATGATGGCTATGTTCGAATTATAAATGCATCAGAAATAGTTATAGAGAGAGTTAATTAAGACTTTGAATAATAAAAATTGAAAATAGTTAATTAATTCATACTATTGGTAACATAGAATACTTGATATAAATCCACGTGTAGTCAAGTATAACTCTATAAAGCAATTTATTACTTTTTATATGCCCCTTACGTTATTGTTTTAATACTTTTAGTCTTTTATTTTTTTATTAAATTTATAGTTGAGAGAAAAAAAGCAAAAACTTCCACTACATTTAAACTATAATAATTTTTATTCTCTTTTTTTTTTAATAATATTTTTTTTTTACTCTTTTATTCTATTTCCTTTTTTTGCGTTAATATTTCTATTTGTTTTATTTATTTTAATATTACGCTTTTAGTTTCTATATTACTAAGAGTAAGTCATGCTACGCCAACAATATATCATAATGTATAAGCTCATATAAATTTTATTTTTTTAGTACTTTTCATAAAAAATAAAACAAAACGCTTATTAGCTTCACTTTACCCGTCCGTGCGTGTGTCTATTTACAAAACTTTTACTACCCTTGATAGGAAGCTGAAATTTTGTACACAAGGAGATGTTTATTTAGAAATTTATTTGTTGAAGAAAATTCTTACCTATTTTCTCTCAAACTCCTAAGACTGCCAATTAGTAAATTATTATGCCTACAAAATGTTACTACATATTTCAAATGCTTACTGCATCGGAAACAGAAACATTTCCCAAAACATACAAACGCTTGAAGGTAACTACTATAATAACAAAGAGGCTACAATGTCAAATTCGACTATTACGTCTTTATAGCTAGTAGATTATTTTTAAAAAACAAAGCATTTCCACTTGTACAAGGGAAAATTGCTACTTTCCAAATCAATGGTTTGATTCTAAAATCATTGCTTTTTTCCATTCTCTATCAATAGACTCTAATTCAACATAATATTTTAAGTTATATTAATAAAAATTTTTACGATTTTAACGATTGTTTCAATTTTATGTTTTTAATGAAAACTATATACTCATCTGATATTCTAACTATGCCCTAATAATATTGCAAATATAAAGAAATATAATAAGTTTATAACCATATCGTATATCGTATCCTTAAAAGTATTAAAAAAAATTTAGCGAAAAAAAAAAGAAATTGATATGAAATAAAGCGAAATAATTTAGAAAAGATAAAAATAAGGCAATCCTAGCTTTAGGCTATTACAACAATATTATTTTAATGTAATTCATTCTTATGTATTACTGTATATACATATATGTGTATGTATATGTACATTTTAAGAAAAGGCTTTCATGTAACGTATATTGTGGCCATGGTATTAAAAATTATATGAATGTCTCTTAACATTATAAATTTATTATATTCGATGGTATTCAGAACACGAAACTTATTAAGTCGAAAAAATCAGTTTTGAGTAAATTAAGTTTAAAGTTTAAGTCACAGTGCAAACAATTAAAGATTTCTAGTTATAAAATTAATTTACTTATGTATAAATACAATGAAAATTTTACAAATTTTAACAAAAATTTTAAAATTATTTTTTCACAACTTTAAAATTCTGGATGAGAGTAATGTAGGGACATTCTATTATACAGGGAATGTAATTCCAGTTTTGTACGTAATATGCGTAATAAAATTATCCTATAGGAATAGCAAGTTATATAAAGCATGTATGTTAAGAATAAATTACATTACAAAGTATCATAAACAAAGAATACATACTTATGTAACAGGGGCCAAAAGAGTCTTAATTGACTCGAGGTTATATAAATTAAAAATCAATTGCCTAAAACTTAATCAAGAAAACATGCCGCGAAGTTCCACTATTGAAACTATAAGGTAATATACTGAATAAACGTGGACCAATAACTAAATAAGAAATACCGTAGTGATCTTATAGTACCAGGTAATTGTCAAAACGACCAGCAAGATTAATTTTTAAATTGTAATTTTCACACACTCGTACGTATAATAAAAATGTTTTAAAGGTAGAATGTCAAGTCTCTAATTAGAGGTCGTAGTTTGGTAATACGCAGACCATCCGAGCACAGCAATGAGCTATATTGCCGCTTCGTCTTAAGGAGTCCATTGAACACCATTTTAAAATTGATTGCAGACAATACAAGCTCAGATGATACATTTGTTTTATTACGCTAATAAAATAATTCTTCAGACAAGAAGTGTATGCTGGAGCCAATTAAGTTTACTATTCTACTATATTAAATAACATCTAAAACTATGAGTACTACTTTATAAAAAGTTTAATGAAATCAAGTATCATGAAAGAGACTTATTCAGTTTTGGCTGCCAATCACATAAAATTATCTCAAGCAAAGTACAAATGTATTTTACATTATAGCGAAAAGTGATATGGTTTAAAAGATTGCGAATTAAATTTTCTAAAGATTTAGAGAAATATTTACAAATATAGGGTTATGTACACATAATATATATTTATACATAAATAATACAAACGTATTATATAGACAAATAAATAAACATAATATTCTTTTAAGAATATGACTATCATAAATTCTGCCTAAAAGCACTGATTATTTTTGTTTTTACAATTTTCGATATTTTTCTCTTTGCTACTACTACTACGTATGTACATCGAAATCGATTTTATTAATATAGAAATGGCTATGCACATAAAATTTATTACATTCAATTACAAACTAAAAAAAAAACAAGAAACAATTTCCTTATATTGTGTACATTTTGTAGGCATAATAATTTACTAATATGAGAATTGATTATAATTTCCTTTAAGCCCTTGGAGTTATAAACTTACATTTACTCAAGTGAACACTTTATTATGACTATTTTCTATCTATATGATGAAAAATTATAATTGAAAAAGCTTATATATTGTGTTTTACAATATTTATAATTAATTAAATTATATAGTTAAATATATGTGTAAACCATCATATATATACATACATACATACGTTACACAAAAAATAATGTTCTTCAGCAAAGAATTCTCGGATTAATTACTACTCATATATTGACATTGTTATAATTAATTTGTTTTCAAAAAATCAATGATGCGGCTATTAAATGATTACTTCCACTTATTTTATGACAAATCAGTAAAATTAGAACTGATTTTTTAAATTTTCTAAATAGAAGTTATTATATTATTTTCACTGTGACTTAAAGATCATCTTATTCCTGACAACAAACTTATTTTTTACAAATAAATTTTGATGAAATTAAAAGAAAAATTTCAAATTATTGAAATAACAATACATTTCCTGCACTTTGCTTCTTGGCGTGTCACGAATTTTGCCTGGTCCAATCCTCATCAAAGGGTTCCGACCCAACAAAACAGCAATTTGCACCCCGCTTTTCCAACATATCTGCTTCAGCACAACTTGACCCGATTGTTCTACTAAAATAGCCGAAGTTGCCGAGACAGTTCCACACCA